AACCTGGGAGACAGCTGTGTGCTTGTGTGTGTGTTGGAGGAGGGGGCTGCCTTGAGAAGTGCTGTGACCTTCAGTGGGGGACATTGTCACTTTCCTCCCTCCATTTAATCACCTATGAGTGTTTTCCTTTGGGTTGAGCCCCACTGGGAGCTGGGAACAAGGTTTGCTTCCTGGACACAAATCCAGGTAGAAGAGAATTGAGTTCATCTGGAGGGTACAAACAATATAAAAGGCATCTCTTATTTATCTCTATATCCCTAGTGTGCAACACAGAGTAAGAGTACCTAGTACAAAGGAGAAAACATTTTTTTTTTTTTTGAGTTGGAGTCTCACTCTGTCGCCCAGACTGGAGTGCAGTGGCCGCTCCTGGCCACCGCAGCCTCGACCTGCTGGGCGCTGGCGATCCTTCCGCCTCAGCCTTCCGAGTAGCTGGAACTGCAGGCGCGCGCTACCACACCCAGCTCATTTTGATTTATTGTAGAGATGAGGGCTCGCCAAGTTGCCCAGGCAGGTCTCGAACCCGGCAATCCACTCACCTCAGCCTCCCAAAGGCGCAGGATTACAGGCTGAGCCACCGAGCCTGGCTAGGAGAAAACATTTTTACTGAATTTAATCAAATCTCATTCTCTGTTCTATCTCACAGTGCTTAAAATCCAATCTGGGGCCTGGCTCAGTGGCTCAGCCTATAATCCCAGCACTTTGGGAGGCTGAGGCAAGTGGATTGCCTGAGCCCGGGCAACTTGACAAGACCTCATTTCTACAATAAATCAAAAATTAGCTGGGCATGGTAGCACATGCCTGTAGTTCTAGCTACTTGGAAGGCTGAGGCGGAAGGATTGCCGTAGCCTAGCAGGTTGAGGCTGCGGTGGCTGGGAGCATGCCACTGCACTCTAGTCTGGGTGACAGAGTGAGACTCCAACTCAAAAAATAAAAATAAAATAAAATAAAATCTGGAATCACCACCAATCTTACTCAGTCCTAATAATCCAGCAGAAAATTGCTGGTCTGCAAGGAACTTTTTTTTTTTTAAGGTACAACCTTAAAAAAAGGTATTTGGTTCCCTTCTTGAGGCCAGATTAGGACGTAGTTTTTTAAAACAACTTTTGTAGACTTGGGCTTTTTTTTTCTTCAAAGCATTAGAGGTGGTTCTACAACTTCACACACCCTGTTCTTCAGTACGATCTCTCTCTCTCTTTTGAGTTTGGATCTCACTGTGTCACCCAGGTTGGAGTGCAATGGCATGGTCATGGCTCACAGCAGCCTTCAACTCCTGGGTTCAGGTGATCCTCCTGCCTCAGTCTCCCAAGTAGCTGGTATTACAGGTATGGACCACCATGCTTGGCTCATATTGCTTATATTTATTTCTTTATTGTCTTTCTTTTAGCTGTTCACCATGGACAATTTTATTTTATTTTTGTAGAGATGAGGTCTTATTACATTGCCCAGGCTGGTCTCAAACTCCTGGGCTCAAGCAATCCTCTCTCCTAGGTGTGAGCCATCGTACCCGACTCAATCTAATTCTTAAATACACATCTCATCGAGGCCTTCCAAAAGACATAAACTCTAAACTATTTATACAACTAAGTCTCAGTTTCAGAGTGAGAATAGCTGCCTTTCTTTCAGGTTCCAGTCACAAGTATCACCTTGTCAGACTTTCTACAATGTTGTACAAAAAAGGAGGAGTAACACACCCCAATTAGAGAGTAACACACCCCAAGTTACTTTCTAACCCATGAAATCCTGTTTTTCCTTTCCATTGCAGTTATTACTTTTTATTGTAACTTGTAATTATTGTTTATTTGTAAATGGTTGGTATTTGTCCAGAAGAATACTTGCTCCTTGTGATCAGAGACCTTCTATGTATTGTTTGCTGCTCTAATGCCAGCACCTAGAAGGGTACTTAGGATGTGGTAGTTGTTTAATAAATATTTGACAAATGAATGCAGAATCCCAATTATCAACCTTAGGGCTGTTGTGAATATTAAATTAGATAGCAATGAAATGCACCTGGCACATAGTAGCACTCTTTATAAATCCAGGTGTTTTCCTTCCCTCTTTCCCCTTCCTTACCTCATCTATACCAGTCCTCCAGCAAGTCAGCTTGACCTCAACTTGGAAACATATCCTGAATTCTCTACTTCATTCATCTATTTCAAGCCACCCTCATCTCTTACCTGGGCTAGAAGTAACAGTCTCCTAACTGATCTCCCTGCTGCCTGCCTCCTTTTGCTCCTCGACCCTCAGCCCGTTCTCCATAGCCAGAAAGATCTTTTATGTCTGTTTGTTTTTTTTTTTGTAGAGACAAGATCTTGCCATATTTCCCAGGCTGATCTTGAACTCCTGGGCTCAAGCAATCCTCCTGTCTCAGCCTCCCAAAAAGCTGGCATTACAGGCATGAGCCACCATGGGAGATATTTTAGAAACACGATTCAGAACATTTCATCCCCCAGCTTAAACATCATCAGGTATTTAGAATTAGTTGAGACTCCTTTATGTGGCCTGACCTCTGCCATCTTCCTAAACTTCATCTGTTTTAGACCATCTCTTTTTATTTTTTCTTCCCCTCTTCCTGAAATTTACCAAACTTATTTCCATCTTAGTGCCTCATCATTGATGGATTCTTCTTTTTGGAATCTTCCACTAGTTGGCTCTTTGTCATCATTCCGACCTCAGTTCAAATGGGGCTTCCTCTGAGAGAAAGTATCACTATTCTAAGGTGGCAATCTCTTATCACACCACCTTTTATAGCATTTAACACTATCTAATGTTTCCTTGTCTATATGTTTGTTTCTCCCACAATAGATTTGAAGCTTCATAAGAGCAGTAGACCTTGTCTGTCATGTTTGTCACTCTCTCTCTAAATCTGAAGCAAAGCCTGAAACATGTAGTATATGCGCAATATTTTTTTTTTTTTGAGTAAGAGTCTCACTCTGTCGCCCAGGCTGGAGTGCAAGCTCATGGCCCCTCTGTTGCCCAGGCTGGAGTGCAAGCTCACTGCCACTGCAGCCATGACCTGCTGGGCTCAGGCAATCCTTCTGCCTCAGCCTTCCAGGTAGCTGGAACCACAGGCACGTGCCACCACGCCTGGTTAATTTTTTGATTTATTGTAGAGGTGAGATCTCATCAAGTTGCCCAGGCTGGTCTCGAATCCCTAGCCTCAGGCAATCCTCTTGCCTCCGCCTCCCAAAGTGCTGGGATTATAGGCGTGAGCTACCATGCCTGGCCAACGGTATTTTTTTTTGGTTGGTTTTTTTTTTTTTTT